AACCAAATAATAACGACTGCTTTGAACATTGGGACAAAAATACCTCAAAATTTAATTACCATGGAGGATTCGGAGACCAATTGGCTGAAGTATATAAATATTTTTTTAAATAAAATTAAGAAATTCAGTTTTTCTATTCGATTTCCTGGTGCACCTGATTGCGGTTTCAGTGCTTTGTATAAAATTGCTTGTAAACAATTATAATTGTATATATTTTAAATGTTATTACTTTGTGACCATAGAACAGAAAGGGTACTTACATTTCATATGATTAATCCCGCCTCGTAGACCTTTTCACTGATATAGTGTGTTATTAAGCACAGACTGTTTTATTTTATTTTAAATTTTATTGAAGTTAGGTCAATTACCTATAGTTAATAATATGAAAATTATAGCTTGTCAAGGCTGGGTAATATCAAAAGCGTTCAAAATTATTGTTTTCAACCCGGTAATATGGGGTGTAAGATCAGTAGACCATGATGCGGAAATCGTGTTCTTGCGGAAACATGTTCCACCTCATTAAAATAATCAGTTTAATTCTTCAATAACAGGTGATATAATCTAATAGTTTAATAGACTCTGGCCAGGCCAACCAGTAATCATAGAAATATTATTTGTTAATTAAAAAGTATCAAGCAATAATTATTGTTTTCACTCTTGATATTAATTGGGCTTGAAATCGTACCTTCAATCATATCAAATCATACCTTGTCATATAAACAACAGAACGAGGAAAGTAAGGCGCTTTACTCTGTTGCAGGAATCGCGAAGAGTCTTTCTTCATCTTGCAGCACGTGAATTGTCGCTCGCTATCCGATAATTTGGATCCTATTACATTAGAGAAAGAGTTCTTTTACTGGGGTGAGTGGACGATGTTGAAACTGATTTTTACATATCTTACGAATCGGTTTATTCAAATTTAACGGCTTAACTAATTTAATGAAATTCTTATATTATAAAGACTTTTTTTCTAATCCTCCTTTATTTGAACTTAAACAATTTAAATTACATTTATTATTATTCCTAGTTCCTAGAATTAGGTGGGAATATTTAGCTCTTTGACTCCAGCCCAGGTCTGTCCGGCGCTACGTATTTTCTTCTCTAAAGTCCTCCTCCACGTTTCTCTAGGACGTCCGCGCCTTCCCTGGCCTTGGGGGTTCCAATCTAGACTCTGTCGCGTTATATCGTTATGTTCCTTTCTAAACGTATGCCCCAGCTATCTCCATTTCCGACGTTTAATGGCCTGATCTATCGAGGCTTGATTAGTTTGCGACCAGAGCTCGGTATTAGAGATTGTTTCAGGACACCATATTCGCAATATATTCCGAAGGCATCTATTGACAAATGTCTGTAGCTTCTTGGTCACCTGCTTGGTAACTTTCCAATTCTCGCAATCATGTAGCAGAGCCGGCATATCGTTTGTCTTAAAGAGGCGAAGCTTGGACCTGATTTATTGGGATCTCCACTCTGGTTAAAGCTGCGATAATACTTTTTGGGATTTCCTTATACGGCTCCCAACATCTTCATCGGCCCCTCCATCCTTGCTCACCATTCTCTCAAGATAGCTGAATTCAGTACCCCTTTCAATTATTTCATCATCTTTTTTTTTTTGTAATCCTCCTTTATTTGAATTGAAACAAATTAAGCTAATTTAACAAATTAAACTATCGAAATACTCGCTACAACACTGATAAGAGAGGAAGAGCAGATCAGCCTACAAGTAAATGAAGACAAAACAAAATATATGATAATAAGCCGAAAATTCCACCCCAATAACAGGATCTTTTAGAAGGAAAATCATTCCCGAGAGTAGAAAAATTCAAGCACCTCGGTTCCACAATAACTTCAATGAATGACCAACGGGCAAAAATAGCTTATAACTAGCGCAAACAGATCTTTCTTCTCCCTCTCACAGGTATTGAAATTCCGTAAAATCTCAAGAAATCTCAAACTAAGAATGTGCAATGCTATGATAAAGGCAGTTCTAATATATGGATGGCTGTGAGACCTGGACACTAACCAGCACGCTAGAAAAAAGTGTTGAAAGATTTCAGAGGAAAATCCTCAGCACGATAACCGGAGCGATCTGCGATCAGAGTACTACCACATGGAGAAACTGTTCAATCAATATTGCATGATTTGAAGGCACGGAAGTTAAGATGATCGGGAAATGCAGCTCGTAGCAATCCATCTGGAAGCCTCTACGTAAGAATGAATGCCTCTATAGAAGACAAAAGACCATGTGGAAGGTCAATAAGCCGATGGATAGATAGAATCAACAAAGAGCAACAGAGCTGCATGCAGATAAATGGAAAGAGATATCCCAAGTCAGGCAGAGATGGAGCAGGCTTGTTTAGGCAAAAAACAAAAAAAACACCTAAATTAAATTTAAGTATACAATATACAAATAAATTTCATCTTGCTTGGTCTCTCTGTTGTGTTCATTTATTTGTTGGTACCTTCTTGTTTATAACTTAGAGACATAAAATGGCCGGTATGGGAATGTTTGCCTTGTATTCGAACTAGACGATAAATTAATAAAATCCAAAGTAAAAAGAATAATTTCATTATTTTGTACAAGAATATTACAACCTCATTTTCTTGAAAAAGCAAAATTTTTAAAAATGTGCGAGTCTGCCATATCTACAATAAGCACCGTGTATTAACATCAAAGTTTATAAGTTATAAACTAAATAAATGATTCATATTTTAAGTAACTAACTTAACGAATAATTTAGTTGATAATTAATTAAATAAACAAACAATTTAGTTTGTAATTAATGAACTAAATGAATAATTTAGTTTATTTTGACACTGATCGAGCGGTGCCCCGAATCGTTAGGTCGAAAGAACTTAAGGTGATGTCATATGAAAATAAATAACTGGATTAAAATATAATTTTCAGTAGATTCTTCTTTCTAAATGTTTACATCAATTCAGATCAAAAGGTGACTATGATTATTGAAAAAATAAAATTGGGAACAAGGAAGAAGCTTTATACCGAGGAAGTACTTTGAATTACGTTAATAACGGCGATGAAAAAGCCAATTTAACAAGTTAATTCGGTTAACAGTTGGATAGAGGCTTTTAGTTAAACAGTATTATTCAGTAATAACTCTCAAATTAAAATAGATAGCCATCTTTCTTCCTTATGCATTCCACGCTTAGACTACATCAGCGGAACAGTTTATTCCTTCATTATTTATCATTGAGATAGTCTATTTGACACAAACAATTGGATATAATAATAACTTTCTTTATTTTATTCTATATTTTTTTATTGTATATAAACACACTTTTGTTTATTTGAGTATTTTTTATTTTATTTATTTAATTAGTATTGGTTCTTCTGCTTATATCATTTTTATTTATGCATTTATATAGTTTATTTTTATATTTAAGTTATATAGCATTCCCAAGTCAATTTTAACATTTTCCAAGTCAAATTCAGCCTTTTCCAAATCAAGTTAAATCTTTTCCAAATCAAATTCAACCTTTTTTTATTTATTTAATTATTTTTAATTTTCCGAACTATGGGTCAGTTATCATATCAATGGTTTTTGAAAATAACACCCATTTTAAGATTGCACCACTCCGTTTCGATTTGTTTAAGTTTTTCGAATTTACAAGGGTCTACTTTTATATTTCCGGAGCCGTAGATTTTGAAAATGACCTCCATTTTAAGTTTACGCCACTTTATTTCGACGTATTTAAGTTTTTCGAATTTATTCGATACAAGGGTATACTTTTATATTTCCGGAGCCGTAGATTTTGAAAATGACCTCCATTTAAAGATTACGTCACTGCGTTTCGAATCATTTAATTTTTTTGAATTTATTCGACACAAGAGTGTATTCTTATATTTCTGGAGTCGTAGGTTTTCAAAATCAATTCCATTTAAAGATTTCGCCACTACGTTTCGGCATATTTATTTTTTTCGAATTTATTCGATATGAGGGAGTATTATTATGTTTACAGAGACGTGAATTTTGAAAACGACCTAAATTTTAAGATTACGCCACTGTGTTTCGACTTACTTAAGTTTTTCGAATTTATTCAATATAAGGGTATACTTTTATATTTCCGGAGCCGTAGATTTTGTAAATGATCTCCATGTTAAGTTTACGCCAATTTGTTTCGACTTATTTAAGTTTTTCGAATTTATTCAATACAAGGGTATACAAGGGTATATTTCCGGAGCCGTAGATTTTGAAAATTATCTCCATTTAAAGATTACGTCAGTGCGTTTCGAATCATTTAATTTTTTTGAATTTATTCGACACAAGGGTGTATTCTTATGTTTCTGGAGTCATAGGTTTTCAAAATGACCTCCATTTAAAGATTTCGCCACTACGTTTCGACTTATTTAATTTTCTCGAATTTATTCGATATGAGGGTGTATTCTTATGTTTCCGGAGTCGTAGATTTTAAAAATGACCTCCATTTAAAGATTACACCACTACGTTTCGACTTATTTAAGTTATTTTAATTTATTCGATATAAGGGTCTACTTTTATACTGATTAAGTCGAAAAACTTTTATCATCCAAAACACAGTTTCATGATCTTGAAATGGAGGTCATTTTCAAAAACTACGTCTCCGTTAACGTACAGGTAAACACTTACATTGAAAAACATGTAAGTGTTTTTAAGTAAATGTTAAGTAAGTCGAAGCGCAGTGACGTAATCTTAAAATGGATGCCATTTTCAAAATCTACGGCTTCGGAAATATAAAAGTATACCCTTGTATCGAATAAATTCGAAAAACTTAAATAAGTCGAAACAAAGTGACGTAAACTTAAAATGGAGAGCATTTTCAAAATCTACGGCTACGGAAACATATGAATACATCCTTAAATTACTATCTATTACTATAGTATCAGCCGACTATGAGGACTAAAGCTGAAAATTTCTACATTAACAAAAATTGATAATAAATGAACAAATTATAACTGTACAAACTTGTGATTATCGACTAGTGTGTGCTGTGTGCTCACCTACCTCAGGTAACAGCTGGAAGAGGGCGGTGGAGGTGAGAGATCCGGTGGCCAGCCCGATGAGGGCAGACATAAGCTGGTTGTAGAGCGGGCTGTTGATGATCGGCCACAGCACCGCCCCGGTCACACCCGACAGGCTGATGATCCCCACGCTCAGGCAGCCCATGCTCCACACTACCGTCGTCACAACAACAAACAACTTTATATTTAGAAATATGATTAAATAACACTGCTAGCACTGCCGAATTATACCTCAAAGTGAACTTGTTAGTTGTGAGGAGAAGAACAATAACTACCGTAAGAGAAACTCAATCTCGAAATGCTGATAATTAATTTACTTGCAGTTTGCCAAACAACTCTTCACAGATTCAGTATTACCTCGGAATTTCAGGTCTTTGAGTAGGCCCACCAGTACAGCCCACGATCCACCCACATAAAGTCCGTCCTCGGAAATCATTTGCATTAGTCTTCCAATTCAAAGAGGGGGAAAATCGAAACGGTGCCCGTTGAAAAGAAGGAAGCAAATATTAATGTGAGCTCATATTAACCTCTTTACGTTAAATAGTTCAAAAGTAATGTGGGGACGGGATGGCCAAGCTAGATAACACGTTTTTTTTTTGTTTTGTTTTTTTTGTCCTCCCCTTCCTCGCCTTTAAGGCTATACGGGGGTATTCCCGGGTCAGGGAGTGTGGGCGGGGATTTAAAAACTCCTCCGGGCATCGGGACGCGAACTCGTGACTATTTTTTTAATCAAATCTCATGTATCAGGTTGACGGGCAACGACGGTGCAGTGCACACGCGTTAGCCCATTCGGCCACCCCGCCCACTAGATAACACGTTGTATCAAACCATGCGTTGACAGGCAACCTGATAAACGAAGATTACAAGTTCAAATAGAGGCGCCGGGAGGACTTTTAACTTCCCCCCCTGACGCTGTAAAAACCCCGCATAGCCTAAAAGGCGATGAAGAGGAGAAAAAAAAGTTCAAAAGAAATGATAATTCAAAATCAACATGTTGTTTATTAAAAACACGAAAGAATCACCATTTTTGATATTAGATAAGTAGATAGTAAAAACAAAAAAAAACGCTGCAAACTATTTAAAATATGGTTTATTATTTCCAAACAATTATACAAAGAAAAATAAATAAAAGGTGATTCCAATTATTGGACTAGAATTTTTTTTCTGATCATTAGTAATATTCTTTAAAAAAACAGTATTAGTCACAGTATCACATTAAAAATTTAAAAACCGAAACAAAGGATATAACATTTGCAGTAGAACATATAAAAAGAACTAGAGACCATATCTTTGCTCCTAATTGTCCGATTTTAACGAATTCTTTTTGTTTTTTTTTTATGAAATTCCGTAAACTTTGAAAAAACCATTGAAATCAGTACATTTGTTTAGTCCCTACAGTCTATAGCAACGCAGGTTTTTCGGCCGCCGTTTTAAAAGTAAAAAGCGATAGTAATGTCGATGAAGGAGGATCATCCTCGGGTGACCTCTGATTTTATATCCAACTTTGAAAACAAAACGGTCCAGTGTTTAGGAGAAAATTAGGAGAAAGGGACGAACAACAATTTTTTTTATTTGTTTTTAGAATTATACATATCCTGAAACGTGAAACCTCAAATTTATGAAGTTTTTGAATTTTTTGATCGATCACAATGGTTCATTATTGAAAATAATATACCAAAAATATTTAAAAATCGCGATATCTCTACTAATAGTGCTTTGATATCGATGAAACTTCCTCCGTTTTTTAGGAACTTTAAATACCTTTGAAACATCCTATCACAATATCAACAAAAAAGTGTAAACATTTTGAGTTATTCGGAATTTAATTTTACTATCCCTCGGAACGGACGGCGGACGGCAGAAGGATAAAAAAAGTTTTATTAGTTTTTCTAATTCTATGTATCTTGAAACCTGAAACTTTTAAAGGGAGTTAAGTTTTTGAATTTTATACTCGATCACAATGGTTCATTATCGAAAATAATAAACCAAAAATTATATCGAAACATCTGTGAAATAAATAATTAATACATATCACAATTATTAGTAACAAACAGTACTAATGCATACATCAGTTAGTACAAACAAAAAGTAAACGTGCAACAAACACAATAAATAAGAATACAAAAGTAAAAAAAGAAAAAGAAAATTTATTCTTGGACAAAGTACTTTAAGGAGAACAATATTATTCACACAAATTAACATTTCATCTGGCCAGTTATTATGATACAAGAATAACTAAACCATAAGTAATAAAACAAGTATATACATAGCTATAAAAATATATTACAAAAATTAGTTGAACAATATAATAATCAATGAAACTATAAAAAATTAAAATATCTACAAATATAATCATTTATGTTTATTTAATATTGTTATTTATTAGCGGCAATTAAAATGATATTTTCAAGAAGTAATGGGATCCGTTTTATGATTCAAATGGCATTTCAATTATATTTTATTTACTGCCATTTACCTAATTTTATTCTACATTTTAACTCAAAATATTGCAATTATATTGATCAAAATTTAACTTTATAGTGCTTCTTTTTTTTTTTTGTAAAAATCAAAAATCCATTTCAACATATATTTACTGTTAACGATTCCTAAATCAAGAGATTGTTCTTTTCAGTCCTATCAAATTAATCTCTTCCTCGTTTTACCATACTTTAAAGTCAATTGTTGACATGTAAATTTATTGATTGAGAAAGTTCCAAAAACAGCCATGTCAACGTGAAAATTGAAAACTTTTACTTATATACTTTTTTATGAATAGTTGTGTCATTATGATTTTTTTCAAAGATACATTACATAAGAAATTCATGTCCATAGGAAGAAATATTTCACCAACCACGGAAATCTAGTATGCCACTTAATTGGGAGCTAGACGGCTCAATTATGGAAATCAAACGATTTCGTTAACCACCCAACTTTTTCTACCTGGTTTTGACCTTCTGTAACGGTTAAACTGTCTTGTAATTCGTTGAATTTAATCCAACTTAAAAAAATGTATTGGTAATGATAAAAAATTCTTATGAGAAAAAATATCAAGTATATAATTTCGTCAATTATTGAACTTTTTTAAACATAAAAAGTGGTCGAACCGTCTTAGAATCAGTCTAATTGAATTCAATGGTAAAAAACTACATGGGTACTTTTAACAAATTTCTTTCTTACATAATCCGGGATTTTGGCGAACATGGACTGTTTTACTAACAGGCAGACGATCTTCTCGTATTAAAGAGCTGAAGCTGATTAATTATCTTGGCATAGCATTAACAGAACTGCTTTTCATGAATATCTTCCCATAGTGCTTACGCTAAGCAACAAGCATTTATCCTTATTTTTGTCATCGCTATTTGTATTTATGAAACAATAAAATTGTTTCAATTTTTTGCAATAGCGTTTAATCGTATTTAATGTGCCTATTTAAAATATATAGTAACTAAGGTAATTATTAAAAAATAAATAAGTAAATAATTTCAATTTTTAGATAGACGTTTTTTAGATTTAGGGCTGTTTTTCAGAACTGAACGTTTCGGTCTACAAATTTATAATAAATATATTAAAATATCGAAAAATGAGTTGGAGTTGTTTTTTAATGGGACAGTAAGAACAACCTCTTGTTTTAGGTATGTTTGCTAATAAATACCTATTGTGCATGGTAGGAAATAGAATTTTTATTTTCATTAGAAAAAAAAAACAATAAATTTAACTTTCGATCAATATATTGATACAATAGCAATTTCTTGGGTAAATATGTAGAACAAAATTAAGTAAGTACCAAGCAATAAAACATAGTCAGAAGGTCATTTAAATTTCTTCTCGATTTTACACAAAACTTAATGTGAGTTGATTCCCTTCTACTGAACGTCTTCACGACTAGCCTTGTTTTAGCAAAAAATAATTATTTAAATAGGTTAGTAGGTGAGAGTTGTGTGATATGCGCCCCGCACCACATTCTTAATAATCATCATTATTGGGTCATTCCATGCCTAAGCATCCAGGATGTTACTTACCCCAATGGATTTTATTTTAAATTGTATATTAAAATAAACGTATATTCATAATTTTGTCCTTATTAATGTGTATATACTCATATCAATACTTTTTACATATAAATGTTTATATGTGGGCTATTTTGATTGGCTTAGGGCCATTATTTCAAAAATCCTAAATTTCTTTTTTATTTATAAAATGACAACGTTGGCAATAGTTTATTCAACAAATCTTGTCTCTAGATAATACGCTCGTATTTCCTTTTCTTATTTTATTGTTTCTAATTATTTAGTAAAATATATTGTTTCTTTTTTCAACTTTGCTTCTTATCTCAAATTTTGAGAAATCAGGGTAGGATTAAATCATATTCTCCAAATTATGAGGTGAAGTAATAAGTGAAGCAATTGAAATATTTCATAGTAAGTAAAATTGAAAAAAAATATCTATATATTTAATATTTATCATAAATATTTATATATACTTATCATTATTTATCATTACAACAGATTTTAATGGCCCTCTCAATTTAAAAAAATAAATAAACTGTTCCTGTATCAGGAAATAATAAATAAACTATTGCACAACACTTAAAATGAGTACAGTAGGATTAATTACAATAGAAAAAATAAAGTTAAATTAGTTATTATCCTTATTTTAAACAAGATATGTTCCACATTCAATGGGAGGAAGTAATAAGGATTTCAACATTAAGGAGTCAGGTTTCATATTTAAGAATCATAACATAATAAAATGAATTTATAATTAAATGGTCATTTCCAGATTCAATATTTTAACCAAAGCAAATAAGTTCACTCATACAATTTATTAAGAAAAAAAAAATTAACCCTTAAACCCTCTCTTTAAAAAAAAAAAGTTATTACTATTAGTACATAATGGTGAAACCCCATATCATTCTCAATAAATTTGTTGTCAAATTGAAAATTTATAATTACAGTATACTATTGAATTTTCTGCTTCTCAAAAGCTATCAAATGAGCATTTGCCAGTTATTTGTTTCTAATCGTAAATTTTAAATTGTGTTTTTAATTTTCTGAGATGTAATTAATACTTTATTTGATAATAAATAACAACTCTTTAGTGTTATATTTGTAAGTATATTCTGATTTACAGAATTTGTTAACTTCTTTTTAAAGGCAGAGATAAACTATCTTTCAAAATCTTCATCAATTTTAACATTTTTTCTCATCAAGATTACACATAGATGTGTTACACACATAAACACAATTTTGGGAAACTTGGTTTCTTAGACTCAGAAAGGATTAATTTTTCCAACTCATACACCATATACATGAAGTACAAGATGTATCATTGTGTGTATGTATTATAAATACGATACAAAGTTGTGTACCGTTGTGGTACATCTTTAATGCATTATTAAGTAATTGTTTATTTTATGCAAGAAACAATATATTTCGTATGTCAAAATTATTTAATGCAGGAAATAAGATGTCTCTATATGCCACCTTTGTCCACCTTTGAACGAAGTTAAAAATGAAAAACATCCTTCGTCACCGATTTCGTTTATAAGCAAGTCGTAGATATTAATTTGAGGCGCAATTTTCTTGTTTCTCCAATATTGATAACATTGTTTTGCATCAATTTGAGATCAACATTTCTCAGCCGAAGACCTTGGTGGTCGGATTCCTTCTCATTAAAAATGTAAGAATGAAATCTATTTTTCTTTATTTTTGTTATTTTATTTTAATTAATGAAACACCTAATTATCAAATTGTGGCAAGACTGATTTATTTAACTTTTATTGTAAAATTGTTCGTATTAACCTTGTGGATATTATAACAAGGATTTTTCCCTTAACAAGGAAATTATGCTGCCCTGAGACCGAGACGTTCGAGGAAATTATCTTAATTAATTCTTTAACGGTAATTTAAAAAAAAAATACCATTTGCCAAAAAAGTAAAATCTCACTTCGTATTTTACATTTTCGTTCTTTCACATGAATGAGTAAACTCTGGAACAAATTTTAAAAAAATCAATTAGGTTAGTGTCATTTATAAACTTTAGAAAGCCTTACAAGTGGAAACCATTTCCTCGTGCCGTACAAATCCGAAAAATGTGTAGAAAAAACCCAATATATTTAAAATTTTGTAATTAATTCCTGAAAACTTACTAAAAACATCAATTGTGTTTATTATTGTATTAACACATCGAAATGTGATCATACCTTGTATTAAGACTGTGTGTTTTAGACCATACGAAAGAAGTGAAAACATCAACAACGCGAGATTAATAATACGAAATATAAATAATAGCTTATTATAAACAGGGTGAAATGCTGAACATATCTTCCGCTTACAGTATGGAGGTCCGATTTTTAGTGTCTGAGACATTTTCATGTCCTGAGCGTCTGTGGCTCTAGTGCCCTCTTTCAGTCTCCATTGGCTTCTAATACTAGTGATGCGGCTGGAAAAGTGGCACTGGAATCTCCTGGAGTCTTGCTTTGCATTCCACATGTGGGAGGAAAAGCCTGGCTCGGAGATTCTTGGGCGAATGTATATATTGTATATAGTTATGATTGTGTTTAGAAGTTTTTATTTTATTTTATTTGTTTTTTTTTAATATTTTTATTTACCTTCTCCATCAGTATTATTTATTTACTTCTTATATTTATTTCTTTATTATTTGTATATATTGTATGAATGAGAACTTTTAGCCCTAATGCTTATAGCCCTCCAGCAGTGTCTGATTGTATTATTATTCAATAAATAGATTTAAAATTGAAAAAAAAAAAATGAGACATTTTATTTCATATTCAAAAACATTTCAATTAGTCGACTCTAGCTGACTTTATCCGAGCGTTACACATCGGAGTTCTGACGGCTCAATCCAATTTACCTTCCACAAAAAAAGTGCAAAACGCGCCCAATGAAATTTAATTTAACTTATTTTCAACAAAAATTAAAATTCAGCATTGAAAATGAAATTCCTAAAAGTTTTTAGAAAAAGTTTAACTTCAGAAATGCACTCTAAGATTTGAGATTTTCAAACATTTAAATATTAGTGTTGATGAAGTTTTTTTAGATCACTAAAAAAAAAAAGTTTGTGACATCAGTGCTTTTTAAAAATAAACAAAAAACTTTTAATCCTTCAATAGAAAATATGTTTATTACCAGTTCTGCAATGAGCGCATATTTCTTATCACACCCGATTGATTTTACACGATGCATACAGAAGTTAGCTTTCCCATCAAATTTAAACTCGGGATAATTTTTGTAAAGGGACTAGATCCTACTTTATGAATTATTCAATTTTTATTAATAATGCAATTACAACAGTTCACTTCATAGCCAGGAGGGATAATGGAGGGCTGAAGAATGAATGAGAATCCAAGTCATAACAATAACAAATTAACGTCCAAATTATTGTTCATTTTTGGTGCTCCGAGTGATTATTTTGCGAGGCATCATTTGTCAAATATTTAGATCATCAAGTTTAAACTTTATTAGTTTATTCCACAATAATATTGTACGTCAAACATATTTATTTAATTTAACAATTTGATATATTGACTTAATCGAATAGAATTTTATCAAATTTATATTACACAGTCAGTACACTATTCTTCAATTTTTTTTTTATTTGAGTCTGATCGAAAGAACCATTTTAAAATATACGCTTATGATAAACAACAAGTTTTCACAAGTATTTTCTTAAATTTAGTGGATAAAATTTGATGAAATTGTTGCCTAATTCGTTATTTTTTTAACAATCTCTAAAATTTCTTTAAATGTGGCCCAAATCTGTGGTTTTCGAGACACAGATGTATCAAGGAGAAATGATATTGTGAATATGTAAAGGGAGCTATTGTATAGAATTCAATAAAATCGATACAGCATTATTTTTTCATCAATTCCCTCCTCACCCTCCCCTAATGTAAGGCCAAATCTAATAAACCGTCTCTGAAATATACCCATCATTCAAAATATTGTTGGAGGAAATGGTACTTAGCACGCCGGATTAAGCTAATGTATAGAATAAAATTCGATGAAATCGATATGAGACCATCCAGGTACAATAAAATATCAACATTTTATTAAAATCAGAAAATGAAGAACTACATTGCATTAAGTGTTATATTCGTCACAAGGGTTTAATAACAGACAGAGAAAGCCGAAACCAAATTTATTCCTAGATGTATAGAATGTAAAACCCGAATAAAAATGTTCAATTTTGAGTACAAAAGTTGTTTTAACCTACCGCACGAATACAAACCTCCTTTACCTTCGATAGTGAAGTAGACAAACCTTAAACTAACATTTATTCAATTTTAATAAGAAAATGTGAGCTATAAAATTGGTGCATGTTAATGTTGTGCATTGATGCGTGCAATATTTTAAAGGAGTGCTGATTATAATCTATGTTAAAATTCATTTATCTGAGATGTTAGAGGTACAGTTGCATGCTTTTATTTCTAACCACTACCCTACTGTAAACTATTCTTCCCTACAAAATAACCAGTTAGTTGTTGAGTGGTATTGACCATGCTACTATACACTGTACTAACCTTGGAACAAAGTTAGCTTCCTTTCTTGTCTTTCTGCAGCAACTTGCAGCGCCTGTCGTTCGACTTCAACCATACAAACATATCGTGAAAATAATGTTCAAATTTATCAAAATATAATTTCTAATGTATCAATTCTAATTAGGATGGAATTCTATCGATACAAATTATGAATGGATCAGATATCAGTTTACCCAGATCTGACGTTCTTCCTAGCAGCTGACTGAGTATATGATATAAGATTACTATAGTTCTTACCATAATCTAATATTTAAATATAGATTGATAGATATTTACAGTTTTTTTTTTGCCAGCCTAAGACTCCCATTGAAGTCCTATACTGTCCCAAATATTTATAGTTTTTCTAAGCTTTATTGAACTGAAGAACCAGTAACAATTATCCTAAGCCTAAGATTAATTATGATCGGATAGAAAAATTTTCCAATAGAGTGTTAACTTTCCATTTGAAACAATTTCAAACTATAACTATCACTATAAAATATAAAGAGGAATTGAAAAAGATGGAAGTGATACGGTAACCTTTTAATCTTCAATTTGAGTATAAATAACAAAGTTAAATAGCAACAAACAATTTCATAGATAATTTGTTTATTATATTTAATTGTTTATATAGCAAAAACAACTTATAGCACAACAACTCATGAAGGATCTTGAGTTCACTACTGTGAAAAGGAAGTACTATTTCTAGGCCAACGGTTGAGCAGAAAGATGATCGAGCCCCAGGAGGATCTTCCGACCCCAGGGTCAATCCATGGCTGATGAAAAAGTCACCAGCAGGATTTTAATCCAAGACTTTGAGCATTAGAAGTCAGTGCTTACCGACTTTGCTACTCCGCTTAATAATATAACAGCAAAAACAAAATATTTATTTTACATTATTATTGGAGAGCAATTCCAAACTAATGATTTATATTAGTGAGACCAGGTAATGACGTATGTTAACTACAGATAATCACAATATGAATAGCTGAAACATCAATGAATTGCTATTTATTACGGAAGTTTTATTCGATTTGAACTGTCTTAGCAAGTGTATTGTAAACTCCAAGATGTAAACGAAAGGACTGACAGAATTTAAGACCAGTTTGAGGCAAAAAGTACTTCTGAATTTTCATCTTTAAAAGTAAAGTCATTATAGTGAGTCGCATCGCCTTTATGAGCCATTTTATGGAGAAATTTGGAAGACGCAATCTTCTATGGAGATTAAATTCCGTCAGAAAGGAAATAAATTTCTTAATGCCCTAGAAATGAGAAAAATACTTGCAACGAATACGGATGCTATTACAATGAAAACATAGCTAATTCTTTACTTCAAAATGCGAACAAATTGTTATGGTATATATGCACTATCAAAATGCACTTTAAACTGAACAGGTGACGACAAAACAATCAATATCACATAAACGGCATTCACTGATGCAACAATTCACTACAATTGACAAACACATAATATAATATAATAAAAAAATAATAATGTATTATGGCATACCTTCAAATTGAGAAATATGACCCTGATCATCGGCCACTTGCAGCAATGACTGCTTCTCCACCTCCGGGGGAACCGACAGCACCAGCATGCAGCTCTCCTTCGCCTCTCGGCCGCTGCACTGCACCACAATCATCGATATATTATATTATACTTTATCTCTATATTCTATAATATGTTATCTAGATAATTTAGAATCAAACAAAGAAAATAAATTAGTACTGCAAAGTAAAAAGATTCACTGTGCTTGAACCACACTCTCTTCTCTCTCCACCACTCAAAAAAAAAAGATAATAAAAATAAGTCAGGTTTTCCAATGAATAACGTCATATATTATACAAACATACATATTTTTCCAAAATAATTGACTTTTTACAATGTATTTTTCGTCATAGAAAGGTTGTGGGAGTACATTTTAAATACGTTCCATAATCTTTAGAACATGTTTTAGGGGGGAGGGCTGATTATATTTAATAATCATATATATTACCGAATATATGACATATATGATGACAAACCTTTTAACATATATATATAATAAATGTTTAATTTTATGAAAATGAAATAAACTAATTTATTATAAACAGTTTACACAAACTATGCCTATACTTTTGTCCATTGGCAGAATAGCTTCCTTTAAAAAACACTTGTTTTACGACATGTATTAATATCGCAAATCTAGTAAATATCAGAAAAGCATATTATTTAATTTATTTTTTTCTCTTCAAAGAGCTGACAGTGGGTTGTTTCTCAACAACCGTATTCATGCTATTATATTCCTGAGTGCACATTAATACAGTTGTCAATATCATGAATAAAAGAATTTTTTAAAATTATATTTTATTGAAATTTAAAACTGTAAACATATATACAACTAGGAAATCTGCTGTAGCAATATATTACGTGGTAAGTACTTCTGAAGAAGCTAACTATTGGTAACGCTTCAATGATTAATTAATTTAGGAGGTCCCTAGGCCATCTTCTTTTCAGACGCTTCGGAGTGTTGTCGGGAATTGAATTGGATGGAAGATTATAAGCTAGAAGATTGGAGTGACCAAAGAGTTTTGAATTAAAAGAGGAATATATAGTTCGGAACAAGTTTTCCACTAGAAGAATGTTGAGGACATCACGGATAATTTTATTTGTGACATAATATAGAGCATTTAGGATTTTACGGAGGATTTGGATTGTAAGGATTGCATAAGATAAGAATTTGATGTTTTTGTAGAGCCCCAAAGCTCAATTAAATCTGTCCAAATGGATCTGATGATGGTAGTGTAAGTGAGTTTTTTTGTAGAATATTGGAAGTTCAGAAAGTTTGTCAAGTAAGTGTTGTAGTTGTCGGAATCTGTTGGGAATTTCTTGCCTTTAAGTCTAGTATAAGAATTCCAGGTAAGGCGATTGTGAAGATGGAGTCCTAGGTAACAGATCTGTTCTGTAGGAGTCAGTGGAATATTGTAAAAGAATACGGTAGGACAGGATGTTGTAGGTTTAGGTAGGCGAAGGATGCAAGTAATTTGTTAGAGTTTGTTTGGATTAATTTTAATTCTCCTATTTTCAGACCATTCTTCAATGGCTGAAATGTGTGACTGCAGGGATGGTGATGCAATTGTTGGTTCATTATTGACAGATAACACACATGTGTCAACAGCGTAAGTAATGAGGATGGTTGAAGGATGGATTGCGATATCAGCTGTATATACTGTGTAAATGATGGGACCTAAGATGCTACCTTGAGGGAATAAAAGGATTAATTTTTGTTTGTGTTAAATACTTTCTGGTCTATATATTATTTTATAAAAAATACCGCTTTACCAACTCATTTTAACCTGAATTCTGATGATGAAAAACATAAACCTTTGTATTAGTGCTCATTCTCTATCTCAATATAATTACAATATAAAATAATGTACATCTACTGCTTGATTATTATTACAATTAAGGCAGAAAAGTTGTCTCTGTATTTTAATAATTGTATTGATGAGACCTTACATGGACCCTATCCATCAGAGAGATGTTATATTATGAGTACTGATTACCAAATATTTTACTCAGATACTGACCTTTTTTGAGTAATAAAAAAATTAATTACTACTTCAGTTGAGTTCGACATTAACTCAAGTAGTGATTGAACTCCCAATAGTGATTCAATTTGAGTAGAATATTTGGTTCTCGGTACTCAGAGTAGCATTTACCCATGTGTGATGGCAAGTCAATTGCCCAAGAACTGCATGCATAGCAATATAATATCTTGGCGGACCTCTGAAATGTATATATATTTCGCAACATTTCTAATTACCCAGTGGAGGTTCAAGGAATTTCATATATTCTATTATTCCACTTGATACATTTTTATTGTTATGCATTTCTATCGGTTGTCCCCGTACTTTGTCTTGGCCAAATTAGTTGGAAGTAAATATCCTTGACTTCTTATACGCACGATTATTATTATTCGTACAAACCCCTTTTACACGTTTGTGGGTGGGCCACACAAGTGTGAATCCTCCCATACCTAGGAACGACTGAGGATTTTCTCCTTGCTAGCTCGAGTCATGGATGTTATAGAGATAGTACCTCTATCATCTCGTCTCACTCATCATATCTAAGGCTCCTTGTTGTTTAAAGGGAAAAAAGATAGCAGGTAATAGAAACACAGAGAGATTACGATGTGTGTGTGAGGTATATATGTTAATGCGTGTAATAATATATCTGATGGAATATATAATAAGATAGATATAATATAAAATATAATAATATTACAATAAATAACATACACCAGAATAGAATATATATTAAACAATAATAAGTATTTCTGCCTCATAGTTATTAAGTTCTGTGTTTTTTTTTAATATAGCATTATCAAGATAGATTTTATTTATTTATATTTCTGATTCTAATTCCGTTTTTATTGGTTTTGTTTTTTCATAGATTTTCAATAATGGGCCATTGTAGTCGGCAAAAATTTTGAAAACCAGCTTTTTTTTCTCTATTTTGTGCTCAAATTATCTTACGATTCAAGTGGAAAGCAAATGGATATTAATTATTTTTTAGTATCTAATTAAATAGACAAAGTTAAATAGACCTCTAGATTGAAAACGCTTCCATTTCAAGGGTTTTCGAAATTGAATATTTGTATGCTACGGTGCTATGAAACTATTAACGAAGTTTCAGGCTGATGTTAATAATTTGATAAAAACGGATAATTATTAGTCCGTGGTACAGAGCCCCACACAGACTAATAATTGTGTCTGTCTTTTTTTTTTTTTTTTTTTTTTTTGTCCTCTTTCTCAACTGTTAGGCTTCCCGTGGCAGGAGGTGAGGGTGGGAGATAAATGACTGAGTTAAAAACCCTCTTACCCCAGCACCGGGACGTGAACTCGAAATTATTTTTTCAAATTATCTTCCATCAGGTTGCCAAGCAACCAGGTGCTGTGCACACGCGTTAGCCCGCTCGGCCATCTCGTCCCTTAAAAGTCCCTTCCGGATAACCGGGACGCTAACGTAATTATTTGATCATATCTTCAACTTTACCAGGTTGCCAGGCAACACATTCATATTCTCCGATACCACTGGCCTGATTTTTTTGAGATTCGGAATCCAAGACAGTGGTCAACCGAGGATGATGCGTTTGCCTCGATATTAGCCTTTAGTATTGACTTATTAACTATAACTTTTCCTTTCAAAATGGCGACCAAAAAACACTGTTTCGCTATAGACTTTAGCGCCTAAATGGATATGAGTTTAGACGGTTTGGCGAGAACTTGTATGATGTTTTACAAAATTTCATAAAAAAAAAAATTTATTGAAAATAAATAAAAATAAAAAAAAGTTGTTGTATTCTGAAGATTTTCTATATGTCCTTTTGCAAGACTGTTCTAGCCTTCAGCTGAATCAACTTTCGTTCTCTTTACAAATATATATTTTTTTAATATTCTTATACACGCTTATACTAACAAACAAATGTTTTCTATTTATTTTCCTCTATATTTTGAGGAACTTAACGTTAATAAATATTTGATTATTGAAAATTTTGTTTTGCGATTTACATATTTACTTCCAACTAATTTGGCCAAGACAAAGTACGGGGACAACCGATAGAAATGCATAACAATAAAAATGTATCAAGCGGCGAGAACTTGTATGATGTTTTACAAAATTTCATAAAATAAAAAAAAAATTTATTGCAAATAAATAAAAATAAAGAATTATTGCATTCTGAAGATTTTCTATATGTCCTTTTGCAAGACTGTTCTAGCCTTCAGCTGAATCAACTTTCCTTCTCTTTACAAATATATATTTTTTTAATATTCTTATGCACGCTTATACTAACAAACAAATGTCTTCTATTTATTTTCCTCTATGTTTTGAGGAAATAAAATAATTTTATATGTACTATTTTGAAATAATAAACCATTGCGTAATAATTAGCAGCTATTTTTTTCTTACAATATTTATATTATATAATTTATATATTAAATTAAAATACTCACTCCTCAATAATAAGCTACTAAGCTTAAATACACTTTAAAATAATAAATAAATTTTATAATTACTATTTCATGATCTATAAATGTAATGGAACTATACATTTCCATTATTCCTAGGGAACTAGATTTTCTGCCTTTCTCTATAAATAACCATCAGTCACAATTTTATATATATGTATAATACTAATATATGCTACTATTAATTGATTATTATCATTGAAGAGTAATATTATGCATGGTGGCAATTTCTTTTCAGCATTGTTTGCACCGATATATTTTGTTTCTCATTTATAATTTACCATTTTCAATATTTTATTCTGGAATTTATCCTTTTATTTCTTTCTAAGCTGAAATATGTAATGATATAACCGTTTTTAATTTGTTTGATCGTTCACGGAGGTGTACATTTTCATAATTTTTATAATTTATTCTATGTGTACAAATTATTAATAAATACATTGGTAAAGTTTAGATATAAACAAATATTTATATAATGACTGTCAACAATACATAAGACGGCAGAGCAAACGATGATGCCGGCTCCGGCCATAGGAAACCAATCATTAAGCAAATTTCCTCTCCTTGTTTATTAACACTCTCCAACCGCTCGGTTAGTTAACTGTATGGACACGCT